GGAAAAGAAACGAATTTAACTAGGATCACATTTTTTAATTTTTATACTCCCAGACTTCAAAAGATAACAAGTGTAATGTGACAAATTCGACCACAAAAATAAATCACCACCATCAAATTTACAATTTTCTATTTAATACTTTGTTTATTATTATTATTATTATTTTAAACTCTTAATTTGAATTACCGAACACACGCGAACCAAGTTGGTCTGGGAGCCCCAAAAGGAGAGGTGGGGCCCACGTCCTCTCCACAACTTTTACTGCGTATACCACTGTACAAAGATATTGTCCAGCTGTAATATTCCACGTGTACATATTTCATTGGATGTTTTCCTGCCCTTTATATCTTTCTCCTCAACAGCGACTAGTCTTGTTGCGTGTCTCCTCAAGCCAGCTAAGCCGAGCCAACGGCTCCCAAATTTTGATTTCTACTTTTGGCTACGTACAGTACGTCACGCTTTAAATGTGAGCCCATTCAAATTTGGAATAAAACAGAAATTTAAAAAAACACTCAACACACACAAGATATTTAATGTGAGAGTCACGTTTGTTTTCAAATGTGTACTAGTAAAAATTCGGTGCGATCCACGCGAGTTTCGTATCTTATAACATTTTTTCAAACTCTATTTTAATAATTATTATTATTCCACTGACCCGTTTATATTAATATAAACAATATTTTGACACATATATTTATTTTTAAATACTAAAAAAATAATAATTTATATATTGTGGTTTATCATAACACTTAAATATTATTTTATTCAAATTTTTTTGTCATATAATAACATTATTATTTATAATACTTATAGAAATAACATTTTTTTATATAATGACAAATATTTAATGTAAATTAATATTATTTATTGAAAAAAATATTAGCTTTAATGTTTGTTAGGAATATGATTATATGTATGTTAAGATAAAATAGAATGTATCCAAAATAATTTGATTATGATATTTTTCTTTAAACTTTTGCTTAAAGTAAATTTCTAATGTTGTTTTATAATAATAAATACGAGATAGAAATCATTTCTACTCATGATAAGTTGGATATTTTGAAGTTGAATTTTTTTATTAATAAAATATTTCAAATTGAAAGATATTCGGAACCATTCCGGATACACGTCTTGTATAATTACATTAATTTGTAAATTGAAGAAATGTAGAATAGGGTAGCAATCAACGTTAAGGGGTGATTGTTTACCAATTCAATTAAAAGAAACCAATTTAACTCAACCCCACTATCCTCAACATTATCAATATAGTTAAATAATATTAATCAATCATTCTTATATATCACATCAACTGTATTTCACTATTCATCACACTCATGTAATTTTAACAAACCATCACTTCTATTCATTTTTCTTTTACTTTACATCAAATCAACTTTAATTATTTAATTTAAATATTATTTTAATATATCCACTAACAACCAACAATACAATTTTTCTAAAAAATTAACTATAGTTAAAAAATAAACCAAATAAAAATTAGTTAGAATCCATAAACAATCACCCCTAAATAACTTTGTTAATTGAATTGATTCATAACTTGTCGAGAGTTTTTTTTAATGACAAAAAACGTCATATCCCGATAGAAATAACATGATTTAAAGAAAAAAATTTAAAAGTATTTGGGTCTGGCTTAATTTAACTCAATATGACAAAAGTATATTTTTTTTTTTGTTGAATTTGAAGTTATCAATATATATGTAATTAAATAAAACAAATAACACGTACAAATATCATGATTTGAGATCAAATGGTTAAAGGTGAGCCAATTAGCACTAGATTAAGTTGAGCCAATGGGCCAACGGCTCAATCGTTTAAATTTATTTCTACTATAGTGAACCGTGTTGGCTATGGGCCTGCTCTGACATGTCATCCGAATCGGGCTGACGTGGCCCTGTAGCTTTCAAATAAAGCCTATGAAAAAAATTTAAAAAAACAGCAATATTCCGCCTATATAAATCCCCCCACACAAAACCCATCACACCATCTCTCCAAGAACACACAGTTCTCACTTCTCACTCTCTCTTCAGTTACTCTCAATAATCTCAATATTCGAAAATTAAGAAACAACAATAGCAGTAAACAACTTAAAATTTCGCCCTTTTGCCCTTTTATTGATCCAAACTGCTGCTAACATGTCGAAGGGAAACCTGACTCTGCTGATCCTTGCAGCGTTTGCGGTGGTGGGCTGCGTGAGCTCGTCCAGATTTGATGAGCTTTTTCAGCCTGGCTGGGCTACGGACCACCTTACCTACGAAGGGGAGGTTTTAAGGATGAAGCTCGACAATTACTCTGGTAAAAAAATCGCTATACTATCATCCTCTTGTTTTATCAAGTTCTTCCTTGTTATGGTCTTGCTAATCCGTGCTCATTCACTGTTTCTTTGTCTTTTTCCTTTATGGGTTAGAGTTGTTTGATTTATGGGTTGTTAAGTTGCGGGGTTTAATGGGTTTCGTTAAAAATCTGATTTTTTTTATGTTTCGTTTTGATTTTCGGCTTGCTGAGCACATCGTATGTTTTTTATGGTCTGAATCTTGAATTTCAGGCGCTGGGTTTTCGTCGAAGAGCAAGTATATGTTTGGGAAAGTCAGTGTTCAGATCAAGCTAGTGGAAGGTGACTCTGCTGGCACTGTCACGGCCTTCTATGTAAGCTTTTGCTTTGCTTTTCTTCCTTTTCTTTTCATGAAAACAATTCTTACCACTTTTTTTCTGCTTATTTCTCATGCTTGTTGTTTCTATTAGTAAGAATTTAAGCACCTTGGGAAACAGATCTTATTGCCATTTAATAATCATTAATCAATACTAGTTCCTATATATCTAGTTAGTTCCTAAAGAAAAAGATAAAAGAATTTGACCTTTCTTATCTGAGGTACATTTAATGCATTTCACTTAATAACCACAAGGTCATAAAAAAATCTCATCTTGATAAGGTTTCAGTACATTAGTACATCAGTACACTTTCACAGCTGGCATCATCATTTCAATCTTGTGAATGCTCTTACTAACTTTGTCAGTTGTCACCTTTTGCTTTAATCTAATCCAGTGATTCATGCTTTGTTTTGCGCAGATGTCATCCGACGGTCCGTATCACAACGAGTTCGATTTCGAGTTCCTGGGGAACACCACAGGGGAACCTTACCTCGTCCAGACCAATGTGTTTGTCAATGGAGTAGGCAACAGAGAACAGAGGCTCAAGCTCTGGTTCGATCCCACCAAGGATTTCCACTCCTATTCCCTTCTATGGAACCAGCGCCAAGTAGTGTAAGCCCCCACAAATTCCTTTTTTCTCTTACACAAACATGTTTTTTTGTGTTTTGTGTTTTTTTTTTTTTTGGGTGCAAATGAAATGATAATAAGAGGTAAATAATAACATGGGGATTGTGCCAGTGGTCCATTCTGATGGGAATTTATTGTACTGAAAAAGTTTTATTATAAATCTTGCTATATAAATCCAAACTTGTAAGGTAAATACAATCCACAAACTACTACACCTAAGCTTATAAGTAAAAATCCAACCTTGCACCACATTCAATTTCCACGTTTTGATAATTTTACAGTTTTTCTACAATATTTTTACAGTTTCACCAATTATATTAATTTACCAAACTATCATTTTTCTCGATGAATTTCGCAGATTCTTGGTCGACGAGACGCCCGTCCGAGTCCACTCGAACTTGGAGCACAAGGGCATACCATACCCAAAGGACCAAGCCATGGGCATCTACAGCTCTATTTGGAATGCCGACGATTGGGCCACACAAGGTGGGCTTATCAAGACCAATTGGGCCCATGCCCCTTTCGTGGCCTCGTACAAGGGCTTTGAGATCGACGGCTGTGAGTGTCCAGATTCTGTTGCTGCTGCTGACAATGTCAAACGGTGCAGTGGCGGTGGGACCCGCAGGTTCTGGTGGGACGAGCCGATTATGTCTGAGCTGAGCCTGCACCAGAGCCACCAGCTGATGTGGGTTCGGGCGAACCATATGATTTATGATTACTGCTCGGACAAGACTAGGTTCCCGATAGCCCCAGTTGAGTGTGAGCACCATCGTCACTAAGGGATTTTTCGACATGAGCTTCATTTTGTAAAAAAAAATAAAAAAAAAAAAATGGGTGGGTTTTGTTTGACATGAGCTCCATGTTTTCATGTTATGTGTTTGTTTTCTTCTTCATCTTTGATTTTCTGCGATGTATTTCAGTACTTAATCCATCTGCCTGCTGCACCACTTGTGATATATACCATTCGATTTGTTTTTAAATGGAGCTTTTGTTTATTGTGTTCACTTTTTTTGTTTTGAGAATTTGAGAGTTTTTGGTACAATTATTGTGGGTTTTTTGTGGTGGCCCTTCTTGAGAGAATGGGGTTGGCAAAGTTGGGAATGCTGTTCGGATTTGGACACATGAGGACCAATCATTATTTTTTAATCTTTTTTTCTTTTTTCTTAAAATGTGAATTAAGTCACATGATTTCCTAAAAATTTATCTATTTTTGACATTCCAAAGTGTGCTGATATAATAATAACAGTGTGTTTGTGTTACACTCTTTAACATGTGAAAGCTGTGATGAAATTTAAAAGATCAATAATGGAGTTTATCCAAGGACAAGGAGGCATGGTGGGCCACAAATTTAAGTCCGCCATGGTCACGGGCTGACCCTTGTGGGGACCAATAAGAGCCAGAGAACATAAATTAGATGGGCCAGGGATGAGCCCATCCCACAAAAAGGGGGAAATGGGTTAGGTCTAAGGCTTGTCTATGGTGGGATTTATGTTCCAAAGTACCTTGCTAAAGCTTTGATGAATAAGATTTTAACAAATATATGAGAGATATTAAATGATAAAAACTTATAAAGAGTGATTACTACTACCTCACAAATGCATGCTTGTGTGAAGTGGCCCAACTTGCAGCGACAAATGTCAAACTTTTTTGTTTATATTTTTCTAAGCATGACATTTTTCTAATAAAAGTATGAATATTTATTAAAAGAATATGTTGAACTAATGAATTAGACGGCTGAAGAACAAGATCTACCGTTATTTTCTTGATATGTGGAAATGATGCTAGAATTAGGACTAATGTAGATGAAAGGATGATAAATAATTGGTGATTAGAGATGCTTATCATGTTCATAATCCTATTGTGAATCATTAGTTATGTGGATAATGTGGATTAAGATTATTCCAAAAGGATGAGTGACTTAAAACTCCATCAAAGCTTTTGATTTACTTACAAGAATTATTTATAAATTAGAATTTATATTATACACAGAAATGCATTCACTATTTAGAGTTCCAAATGAAAGCAAATTGACAAGAGACATGGATTTGTAAATAGTAGATTTGTAAATAGTAGATTCGTGGACACACTTAATGGATGCCTATTACCCAAAGTCAGATTATAAAACATATATTATCTGACATTAATGTGGATATTAGATTATCTAATGGTTAGACAACATATTTTTCGTTATAAATAAATAAAAAATTATTGGGATTTCATAATATTAGTATCATTTTGTTAAAGAAAATATGGTTGCTCAGCAGAATTTGTTCGTTTGATTAAGCAAATTCCACTGTTTTGAAATTAACTTTATTAAATGCTTAAAAACACTAAATCATTTCTAAATAGCACTACGATTTAAGTGGACCACTAGTATGAAGTACTATATAGTATTCACTATTCATAATTAATCAGGTAAAGTAATGAAATTTGCAGCCCAATACACAAATGATTTCATATCAAAAAGTGGGTAAACAATTTAACTTTTTCGAGGGCCCTTAAAATAACAATTAATGATGAAGGGTGATACGTGAGAAATCTTGTATTATTTGGTGCTTAATTTATATATTGGAGTATTTAATTTTAGTGTATTATATAAATTTTCTCACGTATTTTATTTTGTGAACGGACATACACCAATGATTGGATTTTATTTTATTTTGCAGTTATTATGCCTATTTATGATATGACATTGATGAGGTGGCAAATGAGACATGTAAGGATGTGGATTGTACTTCTACTTGGCCAAATTACACGTTGGGCTCTCAAATCATTTTGTTTGTGTGATTAGTGGATTCTTATTAGTTGATGGCTGGAGTGAATTTTAATGATGGTGGACTCCTGTGTGTGGGCTGATTTGGAGGAAATAAATTTCAATTTGTTTGGACTCTTATCCTAGCTAGTGGTGACTTGTGAGTTTGACCGGGGGAAAAAGGAAACCAATTTGGAGTTGGACACTTGAGAGAGAGCTGCGTGGATAAAAAGTAATTGAAGTAAGAATATTATTCATTCATTCTGCTGAAGTTTTAGGGACGTGAACAGAGGCAGGTGAAAAGTCCAATTAATTTGTTGCTTTGAAGTCAGCCGAGCCGTGAATCACTGTGAACAAAGGAGTTTGTTTTAATTTATTTTGCTTTGTTTTGTCTTATTACTATGGATTATTATTTTTGTTTTTATTATTTAGCTGTGTGTAGCTAAACATTTATTTCGGTTCTAGGGACGTTGAACCCTCGATGACTATGTTCGATTAATGCAATTTATTTCGTTTTACTCGTCATATGAAATTGTTTGTGTTATTCTAGTTTCATGTCATAATGTGTGATTTTTAATTTAGCCTGACCACCTAAGTTAGGAATTGCATGTTAATTGCTAGAGTTGAGGCTTCGATCCGTAATTGTCGTAGTTCTTAATTCAATTGTAGCAACTAATAGTCGTGCATTGTTAGGGATAACACAACATATGTTACATGAACCGAGCTTATGTGTTTGTGGCTTAGATCGGTCTATTTTCCTAGATTTTAATACGACTAGTGGATTAAATTAGGAGAGCTTATTCCGAGTTATTCGCTAGTTAGAATTAATTGAAGAGCCTATTTCGATTGAGTGTAAATTAAGGGAAAATTCGGGTAGCAGAGCTTATTGCTATCTAGGACCGGTAGTTTTAGAAGACGAGTGAAACTCGATAAATGCATTAATTGGGCTAGTTATTCGAGGGTGTAGACCGACCTGGGACCGATTCCATTCTCATCTTTGCTAAATTATTTGTTTATTTTCGATTTCATCATATTTTCATCTTAATCATTCATCTCTAGTTTTAGTTTAATTTATCATTTTGCTAGTAGTTCATTTTAAATCAAATCCCCCCCATTTTCACTTTAAATTAATTAATATAATAATATCACGGTTTATACCACACTCCCTATGGGATCGATCTTTACTCGCCACTACTGCTAGTTAGTAAGGGTTAGTCGAGGTTAAATTTATAAATTTAAATTTGCCGTGTAACGACAAGCGGTCAAATGGCTCTTTTAATCATTGAGCCTGAAATACTGGAGCTAGGACCACCAAATAGAACAATATTTCCTATCCAATAAAAAGGGTTGTATAATTAATTATTGCTCAGTTCTATAATCTTCTATACAAAAACAAAATGGTTGCTTCACTTAAGCAATAATACATATATATCTAGCTAACCTAGCATTCCTAATCATTCTCATTGTAAAAATAAATAGAATGGATTATTCAGGAACGATTGAGATTTGGAAAATTACACAATCTTCATTAACTCCAAAGTTTTACCCACTGGTGCATATATTTTATCGAGACATTTGTAACCACAAATTGTTAGACTAGCTAATTGAAGTTTATTTACCTACTCAATTTTGTATCCAAATTAATTTTGGCACAACATTTGTTGTTCTTTGTATGTGTCTATTTCGGCGTTTTTTCGACATTCATTTCAAGTTAATCAGAGTTTGTTTGTCTACTCAATTTCCATAATGGTGTATCTTTAATTTATCCCTCATGAGTCACGATTAGTGTTTAATTTTTAATATTTTTAACAAATTAGTATACTAAATTTAATGTGAACCTACCTTTGCTGGACTATGGCCAAATTTTGCCTGAACTTAAAAGTTTCAACAAATTTTAACTTGGCCATACATACATGTCCGGATTTTGTATTGATCACAACTTACAAGTCACAACTGGAGGCAGCATAGAAAGGAAAGTTGAAAATTATAATTTCTAAAACTAAAGTTTTTTTTATTATTATTATTAATTCAATCATATCATCTCTTCCGAACCTCCAAAGTAAATAAATGGATTAAATAATTAAAGAAAATGTGGAAAGAAGTGAATCTGAGGTCACTAATCCATGCAAATGATTCCATTATAATAATAACATAAACTAGATAGCTGGAGCCATTGACTGGCTATAATGAGATACACATCATTATTTACCAACATATATGATAAATAAGATGATGTAAAGAGACCCATAAAAGGTAAAGTGGTTCTTAATATCATGTAGANCTTTTCTATTTCCCTTGGCATTATTCCAAAGAGTCCCTCAACCATCCTAAGATAGGACAGCTATTTTACTTTTGAGATTATTCTACCTCCACAAGAATCATAGGTTATTAAGATTATCTAGGGGCCCTTGAGATATCTCAAGTCTTATTCAAAAAAGATATATATAAGATGGTTAGTTTATGCAATTATGTAATTACAATGATAAAATTCAAATATAAAAGATGTTTACATCGTTTTAAAATTCGTTGCGAGGAACTTGTAAGCTAGATTTGCCTGTAACCAGCCAAATATTGACTATTGAATGGAATATTGTACAGGAAAGGACTATGAATATAAGTAATGTAACAATTTAGTCGATTGAAGTTAAAAAAAAAATGATAATTTTCCTTACTAAATAAAAGAAGATTCATTAGTTTTACTGTAAAAACAAAATGTTGTTTTCACAATGCACTATGTATTTTATTGCTATTTATACCCCTCGAAGTAAATTCCCTTTTGAAAATAAATAAATAAATAAATTATCTTTTATATTTTTGATTTTTTATCCTTCTTACACCTTTTTTCAAAGATTGATTTTTTTTTTCTTTTTTTTTTCAGATTCGGTCACATCGGTGAATTTATTCATTTTTAGTTTAATTGAAAGCCCTACTTTGAATAATTTACTCTTCTTAGTTGAAATGTATAAACGCTAGCCCTATGGATAATTAAAGGAAAAAAATTTCATTCTTAAATCATAATTATTAAAGGGGGACACGATTGTTGATTCTCGATAGATTGATTTAATGGTGAAATTTGTGAAAAAGACCAGAAAAAGATATTAAAAAACTACAAATTAAATAAAAGTGTAATATTAATTATACTATGATTTTTTTAATATTAATTAAATTATATTATAAATGTTTTAATACTCAAAAAAATGTGTATTTATAAACCGAGGAGCTGTAAATAGCAACAGCTTATAGTGTATGATTGTATTCACGGCTCTGATCAGTTTGTTTTGACGAGGCAACTCAAGAATGTCCAATAGGACCATATAAGAAAGACTGACTGAAGAAATTTTAAATTTAAAGAAGGCCCAATGGGCTAATGTTCGTTGGGCTTAGTAGGCAAATATAATATACACAACGGTATGACAATACATACCTATAACATTGGGGATTGATATTTCAAATTATTTTATTATTTATAGTCCATATATGGACTATACACTTCCAATAATGACATATGGTCCAATCTCCAACGCATTTAGGAAATTTACATACATAGACACAATATAACAAATATTATCATTTATACGATAAAAAAAGAGTTTAATCAAAATGGACTTGGTGTTGGGTTTTTTTTTTTCACAACTACGAGATTTATTCTGTCACTTTGAAATCTCCTTCTCTCTCCAACCAATAAACACGCATTTAATTGCTTAAATCTCTCACCTTGAAATCTCCTTCTCTCTCCAACCAATAAACACGCATTTAATTGCTTAAATCTATCACCTTGAAATCTCCTTCTCTCTCCAACCAATAAACACGTATTTAATTGCCGAGAGGTGTCTCAGATTCATGGTTGATTACGGCGACACGACCAGACGGTGTCTCAGATTCATGGCTGATTACGGCAACACGACTCAAGAAACTCATAGACGAGCGGTTGCGTCCCTGGGCTTGGGCTGATGGAGGCTGGCGGAGGCCGGTGGTCGCGCGACCTGGATCGGTGGATGTTCGGCTATTCTGTTTATGTACCGTTTATGTATATAAACTTAGCTTCTTCTGAGCGTGATGCCCGAATTTACCTATGGATGTTTGGCTATTCTGTTTATGTACCGTTTATATACCGTTTATGTATATAAACTTAGCTTCTTCTGAGCGTCATGTCCAAATTTACCTGTGGATGTTCGACTATTCTGTTTATGTACCGTTTATATATAACTTTCTGTTACTTTTTAAGTTGTAATGATATTGTTGAAGTTTATAATCTTTCCTTAATGGTTGTTTACTTATTGCTTACTTTTAGACTTTTAGTATAATGTTGCAAAATAAAAAATATGTTTATATGTTGTTTATCTTATGTGTATATATATATATATATATATATATATACAATACACGGTATGTGTGTTTATCTACCCGGATGTTTACTACATGGTGTAATATACATTAGTTAAACACGTATATGTGCGTATGTCTCTATTTTGTGTTTACAACCCAGTATAATATACTTTAGGTAAACACATTACTTAAAGTATGTGTGTGTAAGTCTCTTAAAAACATAAGATAAAATTACAATACCGGATAGAAAAAATGGTCCGAAAAGTGCATTTTGATAGGTTAACATCGTGAAAATAAAATATCCAAAAGCAATAGAACCAATATTTCTTCACTGAAGTTCACCAGAAAAAAGGGAAAAAAAAAAGCAAAAAATGAAACAAAACATCATGCCAATAGTACAAAAAAAAATCCAACAAAAATGCCACTGACAAATCACTACACAGGCACAAAAAACATTCCCAAAAATCCAAACAAGACAAATTCACAATTAACAAATAAGTATGAATTATAATTTGATTCACAAAATATTATTGCAACACATCTAATCACTATAATAGAGAGGAGGACTGTCATGCTCGTCGGACACCTTATGTTTTTTGTTTGATTTTCTGAACAAAGCCTCGATCCTCGAGACGACATCGTACGGTATCGCTGCGAAATCGGGGCAGCCGCTGGAGGCGGCGATTGAGCTCTCGCGGAGAATAGGGAGAGGTGGTTCTAGAGGAGTTTTGTCGGGGCGTCACCGGGAGTTTTCCGGATGAAGGGGAGGGATGTGAAGTGGCGGTCCTCCGATCTATATGGCTAAGTCTTCTGTTTCATATGGTAGTGGATGTCGGCTGGAGATTTGGCTTCAATTCTTCCTTCTGCTTCATATGGCCAAGTCTTCTGCCTCTAAATGTTGCCGGCGGTTACCCACAACTTCAGTCGATCTGTCGAGCCACGGCCCTCGGTCGGAGATTTGGCTTCAATTTTTCTGTAGGAGAAATGAAAGGTTGCTTTGGTGAGAGATGAAGGTCTGCACTAATATACGAGATATGGAGAGAGAACATGTGATTTCTTTACATAAATATAATCAATATTACATTAACGGGTTATCAGGCCAAATTTAACCGCTTGACCTATTAACATTATTTTAATTACACACGTAAATTTGATGAAAATTTTGTGTACTCGTAAATGTGATATTATTTAGTCAATGGCCTGTAAAGGAAGTAAATTTCTCATTGTAAATTAATCACTTTTCTGCGCTCACGAAATTTTAATAAATGGATTATGATCAAATTTTGTCCTGCTCCTCAAAATCAAAGAAAGTTGGATTTGTTAATCATATGATTTCGTTGGTTCAGGTATCAATTAGTATTTATTTACCTTGATTAAAAAAAAATATAAAGTTAAACAAAGAAATATATATAAATAACACATAAATTGTAAAGCATGTAACAACATTTGTTTACTTTAACCAGCAGAGAAATATAAGATGTGTATACAAGTTAAATGTAATTATATCCAATTTGAAATCGTATGTAGCAGGTGTTTGATAAGCACCATAAACTAATCTTATAGTTTATTTGGTGAGCTTAACTTTTTTGTATACAAATTAGTTTGGTTTGGAAGGAGTGTTTTTATAAGAAGTTCGAGTTTATATATCTCATTATCTTATTTGGATAGTTTATCAGTTAATTTTATCGAGCACATTTATCATATCAAATAATTTTTCAGTTATAAGTCATAAGTTTAAGTTTGAAATTCACTTACAAATTATCAACTAACTTATCAGTTATCAGTTAGTCTTATTATTTTTTGTGTTAACAACAAAGATAAATAAAATTTCATCCACTAGTAACACTACAAACAATTTAAACATTTTTTTACCCTCGAACAAAATAGAAAGAGACTCCTTCCATACTAAGTGATAAAATATATTGACTTCATTAAATTCGAATGGTATAAAATGATTTTTGGGTTTAAAAACATTAGATTGTGCGTAAATTGGGGAATAAATGTAGTTTAAAATTGATTAACTACGCACTTGTCTTTGCTGATTGATAGCGACATTTACATTAATCTCGCAAACATTATTGTATATTTTAATGTGAACGAGGCAAAAATTCAATTCTTTTATCAAAGTAGGTACACTATAATCTATCTGATGAGAAATCATGAACCTTAAAGTTAAAGTACTCAGGTTTCTCTTTAGACTCCACTTGTTTGATATAACGTTAAAAGGAAAAAGACTTTACACTTGAGTTTGATGAACTTTAAAAGAATGTGAATGTTTAATAATTGTTTATTTTAAAATATGTGTAATGCTTGCAATAATAAATTTTGTCACGTATGCAATATATCAATATTTAAATGATAAATTATACCAATGTACATGAAACCTTTTAAAAATTTTCTAGATTTAAATCTTAAGGCAGGTGAATATTTCTTGGGTCAAATAAATATCTGGCCATTATTCGTTTGTTTTATTTTTCTTCAATTTTTTCAAAGTTCAAATTTAAAATAATGTATCGAAAAGTATATCCTCTCTTGACCTTTATTTTGCCACTTAGATCCGGCCAGCAAGGTGGTACACCCGAGGAAAAAAGGTTTCACGTTATGGGGCGTTTGGTTGCCATTTATGGACTTGATAGTTGATATTAAGCATTTTGTTAATATATCAACCCATTTTATTTGTATGGTTAAAAAAAGATATGAATTTTCAGTAATTTACAACTCCCAAGAAGAAAAATAATAATATTTGAATATAAATAAAAATTTTAAAAAAATGGAAAGCATAATTAAAATTATGTTCCTAAAAGATAGAAATACAACAGCAAAACACGACGATATAACAAGATTTGTCACCCGTTAAAAACATTTATGGACCCCATATTACCCTTCTACCCACCCCCATCTGATCTTGCTATATATAAAATGGCTCCGTTTCACACAGAGATACAAATCCCTCTGCACAAAAGACAATAGTAAAAATCAATAACAAAAGAAAAATAATAAATACTATATTACTTCAAATCTAAAACAAAATAATCATTTCCTTGGTTGTGGCATTTTACCGAGCAAGTCATGGGCAGTAGATTCTTGCTCTCATTCTTCACACTATCAGCTCTGTTCCTAATCCTCCATGCACGGGCCGGCGGATGGGGTTTCGGTTCAGAGCCCGGCCCACGTATCTGGAGGATTCGGGCTCGGGCTCTGCTCCAGCAACCGGAGCAGGGCATAGCAGATCCGCCGAGGGTAACGGCCAATGGCGACGGCGAACGGAGAGAAAGTGCGGCCGAAGCCCCGACGGTGTTGGACGGCGGGGAATTGGGGAGGCACCACTCCGTGGTAGGCGGAGGTGTGGTAATCGGCGGCCTCGTCACTGCCGTTTTGGCTGCTGTTTATTGCTACATTCGGGTGACTAGAAAAAGGCGTGCTGTGAATGGTGGGTGAACTTTTTTTTTCTTGATTGTGAGATGTGAACATTAGATTAAGAGCACATTTATATANTTTCTTTTTGAAAGCTCTAAAACTATAGTAATATATAAAACTAAAAAATACAGTACATTCGACATCACAGAACCAGTTCAAGGATTTTCTAGAGAAACATGGGGACTACCAAGGAATCTGAGTTCTCCTACTTTATACAAAGTCTGATTTTTTTCTCTTTGGCCGGGAGAGTTATTTTTAGAGAGAGAAAAGGAAAGGATATCATTTGGGAGCTTTAAATCTATTGGTCTTCTTTCGTCTTTGGATCCGGGGAATACTGGAAGCTCTCTAGAAGTAGGGGAAGATTTTATTATATTTTATGAAAGGATGATCACTGTAAACAGCTATGATTCATTAGATTCCCAGTAACATAATAACTAGAGAAAGGTGAAAGTAGCTTTGTTCTTACACTGAATTTGTCTCATCTCCTGTTATGTTCTTGCAGAAGTGATATCTTCCGAGCTCTTGCAGAAACAAAAAGAGATAATAATTCCAAAGAGTTTCAACCACACTTTGTATAATTCTTGCAGTTGCAGAATATGCATTTAAAACAAAAACGAACAAATGACATTCACTGTTATTGTTAATGGCAAAATTACAGTGTCGTGAAACTAAACAAACAAAGAACCGAACAAGTGTCCTCCGGCCGCCCAAAACACACTTGTTGGAGGGCATTCTAGTCTGCTCCAAACAACAAAAATGGAAGGTTAATCTCGCAATAAAAAATCACACGCTGATTGGTATTTAAACCACAACTTTAACCCACACCCCAAAAACATGCAAAAAAATAGGGTTACGAAACAAGATCCCAAGCTTGCTGCATCACGTCATCATCCACAAACGGCCGTAGAGCCCACATTTGGCAATACGTCTCCAGCTCCCCAGACGAAGAAGATTTGTAGCTTAGTGAGGACACTATTCGGAACTGCATTGCATAATCTTGTTTCACCATACTGTACACAAAAGCCATCATGGCAGCATAATCGGCAACTTCCCGTCTCGTAAATTTCTCTCTATCGCTCAAAGTAATAAGAATATCCGAATCATAACTCAAGTCTTCATCTTCTTTTTTCCCACAAGTTTGCATGACCGAAGCTGCATCATCCAGAAGGCCTTCGAGTTCATTAATAACAATTTTAGATCGATTGATATGGTCCTTAAGTCCAATATGGCACTTGTGCAGTTTGCTCACATTCTGTACACTGTCGTGACTGTTTACACATCCCGATTCCACGTAGGACAATATTCTTCTCGAGCCGTGAGCCTCAACAATATGCTCTACCAGTGGTGATGTTTTGCTAATTGATGGCCGCCCCAAAAACCCGAGAGCTTGCTGAAAGCCGCCGAGTAAAGTGCTCCCGGATGACATGAGCTCTTCAAATTGAGCAACCTTTGTCATGAATCCCGAATATATTTGAATAATGTTGTCCTTCGGTTCGATCTGCCGGGATTCAACATCTAGCATTGTGCCTCCAAAACGAGAGTTTCAAAGGGTTGAAGCCCGACTCAAATCTAAATATGAAACAGTTGGCAACTCCCTGTAACTAGAAAGGGGAAGAACGGCGACATTAATAACTGCTGAATCAAAAAATAGAAACTGAAATTGAGTTTGGAACTCAGAGAATTTACTCCCTCAATTCACCAATTCATTCTCTCACTCTCAAATTAACACTTCGAAGAATCTTTAAGACCAACAAATGGTTCCAAACAACATTTTTCACATCAAGAATTTTTAAATCACTTCACCTTCCCCTTCTGTTCTGTTCAGCTAATAAAGGGAATTTTTCGACGGCGGTATTTTTGCAGCAAGTTTCGTAACGAATGGTTCTCAATAATAACAAGCAACCACGAAAATATGCAATGTCGAGCCAGTGTTCTGAAAACAGAACAAGAAAACCTTAGCTATGGGTAAATTAGAGCAACAAATAGGAAATGGAATCCAACAAACTTAATCAGCCTAACAAACTTCCCCAATACAAAATAAATATAAGAATTAAGAAGACAAAAGATGAGATTGGCGCAATCAGGAAAAAAAAGGGACATTACCTTGAATTCAGGATTGGAATTG